GGAAAGGGGGGGAGAAGGGGGGGGAAAGGGAGTTGTATTAATTTCATTTTCACAACTTCTACCAAGGCAGAAAAACTTATCTGAATAATGACCTGAGTTATTTTCATGGTTTCCAAACTGCATGTAATAGGATGATCACCATCTACCAGAGACGTATACCTAGCAAGGCGTGTGAAAACGAACACCGGTGGATCTTTCAAAACAAACAACAAAGCAAAATTTTAAAATATATTGCAAGAATTATGCCAAAAGTGGGCCATGAGTGTCTTCATGGGAACTGGTCAGACAAAGTGGAAGCTCTGCTATTTCTGGCAGCTGAGTTGTCTATAACGACTGAAATCTTGAAGATGAATATTTTGTGTATGCTTGTGTGTGTTTGCTTTATCTTCTTTTGTGGTTATAATCTTTGAGGTAAGACAGAGAACAGATAAGTACAGAAGACACAGCTGGCCTTCATAGTCGCTAAGCAACTTTACATTTCCAAGCCTATAGCAGGTAATGAGGCAAAGAGCTGTCACTTGTCCTTCTCCAGTTGGGACAGCCTCTCTGAAACTGTTGCCTTGGGGAATAGGATAGTTTACAGTTTCGGCCAAAGAAGGTTTTCCTATTCCAAATGTGACCAGGGTGGTGCTCATTTGTTGACAGCAGTAAACCTAGGCTGACTGCTGATGTTCTAGGTCTTCCTACATCTGGCTGCAATGCTGAGGGGGCTGAGTCCAGAAGTCAGTCCACCAGAATCCCCTCCATCTTGCACAAATCTCTCCCCAGTGTAAAACCCATCCTTTCAAAAGCAGAAAATAGTGATCAACTCTTAGGCAGGCCTGAAACCTGAGCAGAATCGGGTCAGTCATTATATGCACAATAGTGACTTAAGAAACCTTGCTGGTAATATTCTGCTCTGCCATAGAATGTGGTGTATCCCATATAACTCCTTTCCATACAAATTACTGTCTCATGAGGGTACCATAACCATATACCCAGCAACAACCAGGAGGTTAGGTTTTGTTACTCCTGTAAATCTAACTGTCTCACACTCTGGGAAACAAGGCAATAGGCAGAGTCCTCTCCAACAGTGAGAAAACTCTGCAGTGATGGAGCAATGGGGATGCAGCTTCCAAGAGGATGGCAAGTGAGGGAATGCAGCCAGTAAAAATGTTTGGTTTTTCTTAAGGGCATCCAGAGTGCCTCAAATTTTTTGCGACTGCCTGACCATTTGTGAACTTAACACCAAGGAAACAGGTACTATTTAACTGATGAAAAGTGAGAGGAATGGGAGAATAAAAGGAATGCATAAAACTGTAGGGATGGAGGAGGGCCTGTTTGGGTATTTTAATGTCCCAGTTAGTTTGGTTCCCCCACAGCCTCTTTTCTGCTTCCTTTTTTCTTTTCTTTTTTTTTTTTAATAAATTATACAGATGAACATGGGAGAAGTTCATGCTACTTGCTGGAAGCAATAAAGGTAAATTTCCATGGCCCATGAATTCCACAGACCTTTGAGTGCCCCGCCTCGTCCATCATGGGCTAACTTATGGAACCTAACTGTTCCGTGGCAAGACTCAGTAGCCCTTAGAAACTGGTGGCATGTCCTCAGGTATTTTCCATGAGAGTGAGAGACACGTTGATTCCATCAGCTTCTTCCTGACATGATGCCCGAGTGCCTCAGGTGCAGCCTTGTGATTTCCAAGGATCCTCTTTGATGTTTTCAGACATCAGACTGCTGTCTCCAGGTCCTCATGGGAAACCATTTGGTAGTTTTGTCGACTCTCCAGGTATGAGGCCAGATCTGGGTCACCAGCTTGCTGAGCCCTGTCACGAGGGGTCTTACCCTATAATAAAGAAACATGAAGAGAAAGTCTTGTGCTAACATGTTTAGAAGAACAGATGAAAGCATAAACCAGAGAAATTACTGCAGGAAGGAGAGAAGCAAATCTGGAGAACTGACTTGTTGTACAAGTTGGTGCTATGTTTTTCTATCAGTCATGACATTCTGAAGATTTTGAAAGTTCTTGTGTCATTTACGACAAAGCATACAGTTCGCCGAGGACATGCTATCTGATACATCACACAGAAGGGCTCACATGCTGGAAGGAAATGATTTTCCATTCTAGGGCTACAATGCCTATGTAAACAAATATGATGCAGAGTACTGCAAGGTGACACTAATGCACTTCACAGGCTACACACTTTGCTAAGGATGTGCAGAGAGTAATGCCCAACATTTGAGATGAGTTCAATGTGTCTCATTCTACCTCAAGTACAAATAATTTTTCAGTGCATCCATTTGCTACTCTTATATGAGCTATCTTACAAATACTGTTAAACTGGACCACAAGTCTTGATCCTGAACTGTGAAAAAATATTTGAAATACGTTAATGTATCTCCACAAAACCCACTCTTGCTCCTTGGATTTTTGGGCAGATGAAGATTTACAAGTCAAAACCACCTGTCTGGATTTCAGCTGTTGCAGAAATTATCTTTTGCAATGTACAGCACTCTTATCTGAAAAACAGATGATCTTTCTCCCCCTTATAGGCTACCCTACACAGCACAATACAGTAGGAATTATTTTGAATTGTCTTGCTGCAGCAAAGGTGCTTCTGACTTAGGAACCCAGAGATGCAATCACCTCTCAACTGCTGATCGCAGGATGCTTATGTTCAGAAATGCCAGAGGGGCAGCTTCTGGACTGTGTTGCTAAGTGGTCAGATTGTTGTATTGACAGAATATTCCTAGGCTTTAATTTTGCCCAGACTTCTTTCTCATCCAAGCATACACCAAGGAAGGGTTGTGGTTGATGTCACATCAATGAGTATAGGGGTAAGTGAGGGCAAAAGAAAATGGTCAACCATCCTCACAAAGCAAGTCAGCCATAATAATCAAGCCTCCCAGATGCTATGCAATCACAAACCAAAGCTCCCTCAGGTGGTCCTTGCCCACAGGCCTCTCTTTTGACCACACAGGAGGAAGATGCTGCTGTGCCATGGAGATGTCTCATTCACATCCAGTGCACCAAAAAGTTTGAGGCCAGGCTCTCAGAATGGTGAAGAAGACCCACGTTGGGGACTGCACTGAAGTCTCTTGTACTTGCTAAAATCAATACAGTTTTCTAAATAAAAATAGCTTGTTTAAACAGAACTGCTTTTAGCACACATGAGGAAGCCTCAATGCTGTGAACATCAGGGACGGATGTGGATCAGTCTCACTTAGCTGCAGTAGTTTAAAACTGGCTCAGGGGGCTGGGTTACCTTGGAGTCCGTCTTCCTCAGAGAGGCTCCCGCATCCACCAGGAGCTGGCAGACAGCGCGATGACGCTGGCAGGCTGCCTTGTGTAACGCCGTCTCACCCCTAGACCAAAGGACAGAAACTGTCAGTGAGACACATCACACCAACATATGGACATTTATGAAGTATGAGGTGCAGAAGACAGAAAAGGGTTCCTTATTTCTGTGAGGTTCTCTCTTGCTGGCAGAGGTATACTTGTGCACTCGCTCCCTTAGCATCTACACCCTTTAACTCAGTAGGAAAGCCCGCAATGCACAAGTAGCCAGTACATAACTTCCAAAGTAACAAATGACAAAAAATACATGTAATAGGACATATCTTGCACTTACCTACCCAGAAAGTGAGAGTGCATAAAGGAACTTCAGCCTCAGTCCACAACAAGGTAAGTTGAAATGTTACTAAGTGACATTGTAATGAATCTGCCTCTGCTGCATGAGAACCAGATTCAGCGTGGGGTACTATCTGACTACCCCCTGAAGATCAACAGAAATTCATGCTGCCAGTTACAGCTTGAACCTTCCCTTTTCAAGTGTTAGCAGTAGATGAACATTTGTAAAGGGAAGCCCTCATAGCCATGGTCACTTGCACTTTATTTGCATGGCTGTGCTATGCTACTGGGTGAAGAAAAACAAGTAGTCCATCCAGACTACATCATCCCTAGACTGCAAACGTACCTTGTGCAGAGCCTTTCTGGTGTTCTCTGTTAGAACAGCAGGGCACTGTGGGATGATGAACGGTAGGCTTAAACCCTATGAGGAAGATGACTTTCACTTTCCATATATTTCACACACTTCCCAGGATTATTCATGCTTCCCTTACCTAGTCTTTGTGGCATCTTGATTATACAACATGATGTAGAGCAATTGGGAATTGGAAAGTAAAGAGTTTTTGAATAGTAACAGAGGAGTTTGGAGTTTTAGCTACTTGAAAGAAACCTTCAACTGCACACGTTGTGGCCACATGGGACAGCTAGGGTATAACACCCTGGATGAATGAAGAAGGAACTGCAGAAAAGGTGTAGAGCAAGAAAAGTAATTTCCTGACTTCTGGAATTTACTTTTCAGGTTGGTTCCTCAGTAACTGGATGCCAGAAACACCAAAGTACAACGCAGGACTTCTGTTCCTCCAGAAAGAGTGAGGAGGCATGGGAAGCAATAGAGAGGAAGTGCTTTATGGAATTCAAGAAACATTTGGTTTAGGACAGAAAGCCATATATGAGATGGTGGTTGTTTGGGTTTAGGGGGACTTTTGTTTGCTTTTAAAGAGCTGTGCCAATTTACAAGGGTTTTTTTTATTTGAAAGTTTGCACTTGGAAAACAAGAGAAGTCTGCTAGGCTAATGCACGTCATGTGAAGGGCAGAGTAGGTTGTACTTACGTTTCACTGTCTGCCATATCCAGTAATTCAGATGGACCTGCAAAAGACAGTCAGGTATGTCATACAGCATTGCCTACATTGTTAAAAGAGTATGACTACCAGGGGAAGATTCCCAGTGCAAATATATGACAGAAGTCAACTGAGAGGTCAATTTACACAAACATACCAAGCTTCAATGTAATATTTGCTTGTGCAAGCCCTTGCACTAGCAAAATTTTAAATTCACAGTCACTGCTGGGAGCATCAGCACCAGGAAGTAGCTGCCTCTAAATTCTACTGGGAATGAATATTCATGAAATTTATTTTATCACTTTTCACCTTGCTCACAGAAATAGTTCCCTTAAGTACAGTGTATTGAGAACACTGGTACACTGGAAACCTTGATATATTGCAAGTTAAAATCTACTGTTAGTACTAGAAGGAAAATGTCATTAGGAAGTTGAAATTAGCCAAAATTCTGTCCTGAATGACATCTCTGTGCTACTCTATTTAACAGCGTTATACAGAATGCAGATCAGGGTGGAATATTCCCAGCGGTCTTTAAATTGATATGCAAATCCTGTACTCTGTTGGTTAGCAATAATCAGGAAAGTAAGATTAAGAAAAACAGAAAAGATTTAAGTGGGACAAAATAATACATTTATGCTAATGTTCTTTTGTCCTTGATATTCACTACAGGCAGATGTTTATAGCAGCAAATTCCATCACTGAATTACAGTGATATGGAAAGGCTAGGATCTGGATAGCATTTGAAATGAGAAAAACTTTTCCCTTTGCAGTCTGTCTTATTATTCTTCTCTCCACTGCTCTGGAGCATAGTGCCAGATGGTATGGGGCAGTTAGCAAGGCAAACAGTGAAACTTTACAGGAATTTTCCTTTCTCTACATCAATATTTATCTTCAGCACATTTTGACTTTGAAATTCAAGAGTCCTCAAGAGCTTACAGCAAATCTCATCTGAAACTGAGAAATTTCACACTACTTGCTTACAAAGGCCTACACACAACCTCTCTATACTCCTTTCACTCTGGGTGTGTGTCAAAATGGATCAGAGCAGCCTGTTTCTCCTTCACTGCTTTTACAACATATACATGAAGTATCATTTGAGGCAGCTGGCTGCCTTGGCTCCAGCTCCAGCTGCAGGTAGGTCCTTTACTTCATCTTTTGTCATCATGAGAAAGGGGTGGGCAAAGAAGTAGCATGTTAGTCCCTAGTGCACAAGGCACTGCATACCTATTGTGGCAGTTCTCCAAACTCATTAGCCACTGTCAATTTTTAATGTACAGCACCCTGACTCTACCACTGCACATCCTCATATCCACACTTGTCAGTTATGTGTTCACTCCTCCTTATCAAAAACAAGAATCGCCCATTACCCCAGAGTTCCCACAATCATGAAGAAGGATACAAGGAAGTAAGCAGGGCCCCATGTTAAGTGAAAAAAAAGATAATGCCTGAGAAACTAAGAAGAAGTTAAAAAAAACCCCAAAAAACAAAAAACACACAGATGAAGAAAAAGACTCTTTTACATACCTCAGGAGAAAATCATGTTCTCTTAAAAATAAAGGCAATTCCCTATGGCTTCCTGTAATGCCACATCCCAGTGATGGGTAATCAGGAATG